ATGTAGCCATTAAAATGAAGGAAACAATATCCAGATATGACAGAATTTCTATTATGTATTATTAAATTAACAGATAAAGTAATGCATGATATCAAACAATATATGTAGTGTAATACTACCTGAGTAAAATTACCTGTGTGAATTGAAGAGTGGAGGGACACATAGGATATCTGTTTCTGTGTAGCAAACTATAATAGGCAGGTCTCCACATTATTACCTGGTTCCCTTTTGACAGTAGGAAAAGGGTGTGCAGAGGGAGCTAAAGGAAAATATAATTTTTCTCCATAAAAATGTCTATTTTCTAAAACAGCATGCATTATTTCTATAATGAACCCACAGAGTATACTGAATGTATTAATTATTCCTTACATAGTGAAAGTATGTTTTGAAATTGAAATAAAGTACTTTACTTAAATATTTAAAGTCAACAACAGAGCGATTTTTTGGTGATGATTTCCTTGTTTAACAAAAACAGAAAAGAAATAAACACCCCTGAGGTTTTTCTGAGTATCTTACTCTATAAACTGGATGATATTTGTATATACTCTTAACCTGACACACCAGGCCAAAGGTTTAATAGATAAATCCAGAGTACTTTTTTTCAATTATAAGAAGAAAATGTGAGAGAGAAAGTTTTTAAGAAATAATTATTGATTAAGAAAACCCTGTAAAGTTACTAAAGTGAGAAATATTCTAATTGAATTAAAATTATAACTCTTACCTGCTTATTTCTTGGTATTAGTTGACCCCAAACACTGGAAAGGCAAACCCATGTAGTTTTCCTTTGTATGTAGTAAGAAGATGGTTTCTTTTTCTTCCTCCTCCTCCTGGCAGCTTTCAGCCGTGCCCCCATTCCGATGGCCGTGGTCCGCAGAGAGCTCTCCTGTGAGAGCTACCCCATAGAGCTCCGCTGTCCGGGAACAGACGTCATCATGATCGAAAGTGCCAACTATGGGAGGACTGATGACAAAATTTGTGACTCGGACCCCGCTCAGATGGAGAATATCCGATGTTATCTGCCAGATGCCTATAAGATTATGTCTCAAAGGTATGATACCTCTAATATTCTTTGCTTTGCACCATATGCTATAAACCTACAACATGCATCTGTGTGACATATTGAACATACGTAAGAACGTAAACAGTGCTGTGCATTTTAGGATAATTCGAAATACTTTTTCAATACCTCTCTCTTCCTCGTATCACCAAAATGCTAGTATTAGAAATTGCAAATAGCATTGGGAAAACATTAAAATTTATTATTAAACTTCATGATCTAATGTGAGTGCAGTTATTTTGATAGCGTTCACTAAAACTGAGTTCGTTACATGAAAGACTAATTGTATTTTTCACAATTTTCAAAAACAGAATTTTCTCCAGAAATTACAGGAAGATTCTTTTACTGCTAACAATTATTTCCTAACAGTGCAGGAAAAAAAAGAAGAAATAAAAATTAAATTAATAGGCAATTTTTATAGTCATTAATCAAAATATAGTAAGCCTATTGATTAAGGATTATCTGACCTTACAAATAATGAAAACAATTATTTTGCTATCTAGTGTATGAAATTAGATAGCTTGAATGTATTTAATTAA